CTCTTGGCTCAGCCTAGCAGCTTTATTACTGTAACTTGTTTTGTAAACAGCCTCCTCCCCTCCCCCCCGCCCCCCCCTGTATTTTTTCCATCAAGTGTCTTTGTGTAAATTCAATTGCTAAGCACTACTTAGATGCATTTCAATCACCATAAATAATGCAATGTCAGTGCTTTAACCACCTGGAGACTCCATTCAGAAGTCAACCAAAGGTGCAGTTTGTGTGAGACCCTTAAGGGTATGTATTTTCAATGCATGTAGAACAGCATACTTCCCACTGTTTTCATAGCTGATTGCATTTGCTGGAGATGGCTCCATCTCAGCTGGAAGGTAGTTTCCTGATAGACCTCAGTTTTCCAGAGAGCTGGAACCTGTGCTTCATTTCATATCCTGTGAATAATCTGCAAATTGTGTTGTGCGAAATAGATCAGAACCTAGGGTTATGAGAGGTAGTCCTGAAAAAACATCAGAGTTTTTTCTAGCTTTTTAATAAAGTGTTGTCTGAATGGTCAGAGGGAATGAAATCAGAAACATTTGTTGTAAATGAATAATATGACTTTGCTTTGATGTATTCATGAGCCCCTTGTTAGCCTTCTGAAAACACAACTGAAAATGAAATGTTTCTTCAATAATACTGGAATGGGAAAATGTGTTACATCTGAGTCCTTATGGGCAGGCATAATTGTGTGGCTACATGTGCTTGTTCTGAATTTGTCCTGTGAAATACAACCACACTTGACAGATGTCAAATCCTTGGTGAACAACTGCAGGGATCATGATACTGGGAGCTGTGGACAATCCACGTCATCGTATTGACTCAGAATATGATCTTAGGCTTGAGCCACTACATGTCTGAATATCCATATTGGCTACGTGCTGTTTTTCCTGCTGACTCCTGGATGGAGTGTGCAGTCATGTTTTCCTGACAGGAAGAGACAGGCATTGCTGGAGAGAGCACACCACAGTGGACTAGTGTCACTGCAGGTAGGACAAACACAGGCTCTCATGGGTGCCCTGGCTCTGCAGACTCAAACTGAGGAGAGCACAGCTGTTGGATGAGATGGACACGGCCAACTTGCCTTCTGCTCAAGGGAGACATGAGCTGCAATTGTCCTGCCCAGGCACAAGGTTTGCAAGCATAAGGATGATGGGCAGCTATGGGGGCAGTTTTAAAGTGATCCAAGGAACTGGTGGAGTCTCCAGGAAAGCAGAGCAAAGAGATTTTGATGGCTGCCTTGGTGAGCTTCTTCCCTTGTCATGCCAACTCATCTCATCATCACTCATGCCACTTCACTTGGCTCTCAAGTTCCACGAAAGCGGACTATTCACTAAAAAGCCTGGAGATCACTTGTTTGTGTCTCTTGGCCATTTTTCTGGGCAGTAGTGCAATCCAGCATAACCCCCCCCACAATAATTGTTCAAACAGATAGATTCAACAACATGTCTTCAAACTTTCCTCTTATGGAAATGATGCTTTCAAAGTTAACTGCTTTGAAGTGACTTTGTGCCAGACTGGTCTGAACAGCTTTTGATGGTCACTTGCAAACCTTTCTGACTCTGAGAATGGTGGAAATAATTCATTAGCTTCATCTTATTATGTCTGATATCAAAGCTATCCAGAAATGGTGGAGGACTGGTTTGTGATTGTAGAGATGGAATTTTTAACCTGTTTTAGATAAGGAGTTGCTCAACTTCTAATGACTTATCTGGGTTCAGGCTCCAAGAAACAGAGCAACTAAGCTTTCAACTAAGGTTGGACTTCAGGAAAGAAATCTCTTGGGAGAATGTGGCAATAGATTTGGTATATTTCTGTATGTCTGATGTAATGTGGAAACAAGGCTTTTTAACCCTCATACAAAGAGAACTGTAGTGTCCCAGTGCTAAATGTAACCAGGTACATGAGAAAGAAGCAGCTGATTATGGCAACCTTCAATGATGCTAAGCTGATGGAAGAAGAAATAATGGTGTATCTTCTACAAGTTATTGCTGGTAGTTTTCATAAAAGTTAAGTAAATGAAGTCTGAGTCTCAATTAAACAACATCTTGTCTGTCTTGTGTGTGCAGGACAATACATTGTTTGCTGTGAATAGACCACCCGAGGGCTGGTCATGTGTTTTGGTAAAAATCATAGCTTTGTCAAACAGAGCAAAAGGCATAATTATAGCCTTTTTATATTAAAAAACCCACCCCATTGTAATTATTGTGCATTTCCAATTAGAAATGTGTTAAACTGTTGCTGTTAGAAACTTTAAAAGCATGAAAACAGCAAAAGACCAGAGACAAGACCAAGGACGAAAAAATCCTAAAAGTCACCCAGTCTGATATGGCCACAGAATACAAAAAATGCACTCAAAGGTGTAAATAGTTGTAGTGTGAAATACATGATGTTTAACCATGTGCATTATTGGTGTTATGAGATCTAAACTCTGAAGTCTAGATAGCATGGTGTTTTAATAACTGTGAAATATAAAATGGATGCAGATTGAGAAGGAGGGTCTTTTTGAAAGATCACTTTGTAGCCTCAAGAAGCCCAAATATTAAACCCCTTGAGATTTCTTTTTACAATGTACAATAGTGCACAGGTATCAATTTTTGTTTTCATACACAAAATTATTGTATCAAAGGTTTTGTTTGGGATGCTCTGTTTAAAACTTCTGTTTGCCTTTCATTGGTTAGTTACTTTAAAGCCTGGTCCTCTTCTGGTGGTGCTTTTCCTTTTAAACTTTTATGTGTGTTACAGGTTAGCCCTTGGAGACTGATCTCTTTTCTGCAATGCACTGTGATACTCTCAGTGGAACCTCCTCCTCTTACTGTGGAGTGGCTCTGCATGCTCTCACCTGGACACTGCTGCACCCTGTGGTCACCTTCTACTGCTAAACATCTCTGACGACTAGAGAAGGAATTTTTTAAGTTATACTTTGGTTTCCTGGATCTTCCCAGTACTCCCTTGGCTGATGGACCTGCCCAAATGACCTTTGCTTCTCTCTGTTGCATCGCTGGGGATCTCTGTAAGTCCCTAATGGAAAGGGACTTACAGGCACCTGTGGAACTCTGCTGACATCAGGAAATACAAGCCTGATTGTTCCAGTGACCTAGGCACCCTGAGATTTGTTTAGGATGCTTTTTATATCTCCTTGCTGTGAAATAGAAATTAGTCCTGTATGAGCTGGGAGAAACAGATCTTTCTGTGCTTCTGCTTCATTTGTGGTTGTTTGAAGACAAATCTATTGGCTGCTGTGGCACAACTATAACTGGTATTCCCGTGGGGAGGAAAATACAGAGAAAACTCCATTACTTTGGATGAAAAGATAATTTTTGTGCCTACTAATTATGGAACTGAGTCATTGCATCATTTGGATGGAGTTCTCACTTCTTACAGGCTATATATGCAACTAAGTCTTGTAATACTGTCTTGTTTTGGACTTTCATTGTATATCTTCTCAAACTGCCTTGCTTTGTATTATTGTAGCATCAAAGCTCTCAGGCAGGGTCCAGCAACCAAGCATGAGAAGGGCAGCATGCAGAGCAACAAGTATGTTCTAATTCCAAGCATATACAATCCAAGTGCTAGAAAAAAGGTGATAAATAAGAACAAGAAAACACAGAGAAAAAAAAAATCCAAACAATGCATGTGGTACACCAGTAACCCACTCTGGGGACTAGATCTTTAGCATGCATTATAGCAATGCAAGTTTTAGTCATATATTGTTGTATATATTGATTTTAAAAATTAATATTGCTTTTCTGGATTGTTCCTAACGTGCTTGGCCATTGCAGTCTTCATCTTTAGGATGATGGACTATCTCTTTTTTTGTCTGATCAGTGAAAAAGAACATGAAAGCTTAGGGAAATATGGGACTAATCACTGTCTGTATTTAATTTTCCAAAAATTTATCTGGATCAAATAAGACCCTTAATTTTTGACCTGATGACATTATCAGAGAAGAATTGTAAGTTAGCTGACTGCAGCAGAGTTTCTTACATGGTTAAAATCCTCTGGGTAAGGCCTGTTTCCACAAACACTTTGATCTCTGCGCCTGCATTGGGGAGCAGGGTTGCAATGACATGGAGAAGTGACAGACACCTTCAGCTGTAAACTTACATAAAGTCAGTTGAATATAAAGATAATCTAGAGCATCTACAGTGAGTGCATCTATCAGCTGGTGCTGGAGGTGGACTGTGGCAGAAAGCCAAAGCTGTTTGCCTGGCACATATTCCCCCATCTGGGCAGTCAGAAGGGAAGAGCTCGTGGGGACTGAAAATCCTTTGCTTTGCCTGTAGGGTGCTACAGGACAGCATGTTAAAATGGGGTTGTGCTTTAACAACTAGGTTGTTGAACACCATAAAATACAACAAGGGCTGTATATAATAGCTGGTGTTCTGCAACCCCAGTGACTCACTGTGTCTCTCCTAAGGAGAGAAAGTCACTGGAGCCACCTTCTGTGGCTGCCTGAAAGGCACATCTTTGCAGGTTCCACCTGGTGCTTCTCACTTAGCACTTGATAAAAATCTTGCTCCTCTACCCACTAACCATGTGCCAAGAAACATCCTTCTGTCACTGCTGGTTCCTTGTGCCAAGATGGATGGACATTACAGGAGGTTTTCATCGTGCTGCTTATCAGCTACTTCTACTTCATGACGCAAGTATCTTCACACTATCAAACGCTCTGGCAGAAATTACCTTTGATTAGTTCATTGTGTGGAGGTTATCCAGATATGCTCTTTGATAGCAGTGCTATCACATTTATTTCCCAAGTAGCAGAAATTATTATTGAAGAGAAAATTAAAAAACTATTTTAGACCCAGTTACCCACTCTCTTAGGCATAGGATGGTGGCTTAACACTGTTTTCTTTACCAGGTTGTTTGTCTGAGTGAGTTTTGGAGAAGAGCATCGTGTCCCATGGAGGAGCTGGAGAGGTTTCTATTGCTGACGGATTTGCTCTGGCACCTGATGTGCGTGCCAGCAGCCATCTCATCGGGGGGACATGGACGTCACTGTCACCATAGAGACAGCAAGGAGGATTTGGTTTCAAGAGGTGAAGAGAAGCTGGGAAGTAGGAAGGTAAGATGGGTCTGTGTCTCAACTCATGAAGGATTTTAAAGCGATGCTGTATTTAAAAGGATGCCACAGTAGAGGAGCACTCTACTGAATATTTATACACATGAGTGGAAATGTGCATCTAAGTATTGCTTCCTATGCATATATTTACATGTACTCTTTTGAGTAGACTTGGGTGCAAAAGAAGCCAGTGCAGGTTTTTGAGAGTCTTCTAGTGTTCAGTTTGTGCTCCTCTGATTAATTCTTCTTTTGCAGGTGATGTAAAAAAAACAACTTGAATTATGTTTAAGCTTTATTTTAAGAAGTCATAAAATATCCACTGCCTCAAGATTTTCTGTTTTGCATAGGAGTTGAGTGAGCTGTGGTGTGTTCTGAATTAATGTTGTTCACTTCTACCCCTTCTTGTGGTCTTCAGTTATGCTCTAGCAATGGTATGGATGTAAAGAAGTGGTGAGTGTTGACAGACAAGGTAGGGATCAACCATGAGTCATTGTTTAACCACATGGGACTTTTAAAGCCTGAGTCTATACTGGCCTGGGACAGCTTGCAGATCTCTCTCTGCCCACTCTTATATCAGCAGATAAAATCACCCCTCCTCAGGGCTTACCCCATCCCTTGAAGATACAACCTCAGTGGTGCATGGACTTGTTTAAAGCTTCAGTTTGCATGCTTATAACCCCAGCGGGGTGCTGACCCCAAAAGGATCTTTCTTATACCTTGGAAGCAAAAGGTAATTCACAGGTATGGCTCTGAGGGGAGTGGTGGCAAAGAGAAAGAAGTGCAGCCAGCAGGATGACAGAACTCTTGAGTAACGCCATAAAAGCATTACAAAAAGGGTGGTAGAAGGCTTATAGAGACTGATAAAAGACCTTGTCTGAAATGCCACGCAGTTCTGGATGCCACTGGAGAGGATGGGGCTGGGTGCCCATCTGATCTTAGGCCAGAGATGCTCAACAGAACCCTTGGGCTTCTCTTGTTGTTGCCCAGCCTGCCACGGCTCAAGCAGGAAATAGCCAGAGTACAGCAGGTTTTTTAACCATGACACACTTGTCTTGACAGCTGGAGGAAGTCTGGCATGGGAGCCAAATCTCCTGGCTTTGTGTCAGCTCTGGGGTATCTTTCCTGTTTTGGGAATTCCCCGCTGGGGAGGTACTACTGCTGTTTGGAGCAGAGCTCAGATCTCAGCCCCTGGGGCTGTCCACTCTGGGAGACGTTTTTGGCAAGGATACATATTTTTTGCTATTTCTGAGTCTCTTTGACTTTATAAATAGCTATGTGACAAGTGAAATTTTGGTATTCACCCTATGGCTGAATTTTCTGCAGGGATGTTTGCATGTGTGCGTAATACCATTCATATTTATTATTCCTGCTGCTGTCGTCACTCACACATTTTCTGCAAACAGAACAAAGGGCTCCCTTTGCAGTCAGCTCATGGTCCAACTGCTGCAAAAAGACAGTGGAGGGCACAGAGAACGCCTGGGGGGCACAAGGAATCCTTGAGATAACATTGCTTGGGCTTCTCTTGTCAGACCTCAACAAACCATTATAATACGTGTAGGCTTCATGCTAATGAGAGGCAGTCAGGGTGTATGTGAAGAACTGAACTGTCTATTTACATGCAGCTGGGGTTTGCATTTTTGGGGGTACCATTGTTGGGACATGTAGAGAGCTGGCTGACTTCTGTAACAAACTGCATTTTTAACTGATTTTATCTGATGGCTGCTGCGGGATCTTGTCTATCCAGATTTTAGTCATTCACCCTGACTTCTGTTTTAGGAACCTTCTGACAAAATTGATCTTTGGTATCGATATAAAAATCTGTGCTGGTGAACTTTTGGGTTTGACTCACTTTCTGGGATCAGCCTGTGTCTCAGCTATGGTTCACTCTCATCATTAATCATTTGATCATGCTTTTTTGAGAGAACAGAAACTGTGATTTATGTTAGATTCAGAGTTCATCCAGTTCTCTTTCCAGTCTCCCATGGTGGTGGTGGTCACCAGCTGTTTCAGCGAAAAGAAAAAGAAATCCTGCGTTAGGCAGGAAGGAGATAAGCTCTCTAAGCTGTAATAGAAACTTTTCTTTCTTCAACAGACAAACCATTCTCTGAGAACTTGAATACCAATTAAGATTTACTAGAAAGCCAGATGTTAAGAGGGGAGTTAGATACCAATATTATCGATTTGATCTGAAAGGTTTTACTGATGCAGAAGCCACTTCTGAGTGACAACAAAAGCAGGAGGAGAGAACATAAAGATGGGCTTGACCTCCAGCCTAGAGCCCTGAACTTGGCACATTTAATCAGCTACTCTTCAACTAGAGGGGCTAATTAGGCACTCCTCTGGTTGCTCATCCCCTGCAATCTGCTCTTGCCACAGCGTGTGTATGTTTTATCTGCTGGGGGAGAATTGGGAACAATATCTATTCTAACAAGTACCACCTTTTTTCCCCCTCTCTTGTTAGGGGTGGTGGTAATAGAATTCCTCTGTTATACATAATACCTCTCCTATAATGCTTCTCACTTGACTGCATATAGGAAGTGGTCAAGACCTGCATCTGGAAATTATGCAGTAACAATATACTTTTTTCTTCCTGCCTATAGCAGGAATACTTATGTAGACCAGATTTTTGCTATGGTCTTGCGAGGTGGTACAAGAAGTAAAGCCACAGCAAATATCTTGCTTGTGGTGTTATTGTGTGATATTGTCATGTCTTCATAAGATTTTGAGGTTTTCTTTGGCTCAGGCTGTTAAGATTGGCTGTTGTTGTGTTTTTGCTTTGAGAATAAGGGAGTACATCTTTGTCATCATGCCACTGGGTTTGCTGGCATGTAGCTATTTTACCAATTTGTGTTGAAAAGGTAGGAAAAGGAAAATGTGAAACTGATGCTGGGCATGATTTCAGAATATAGAGATGTTTACTCACTGTCAGCATCTGTGGTGATCATGGCAATCATTGCCCAAAATTAGATATTGCTTTTTCTCTACACACTTCCATACACTGGATTAGATGCTTGGATTTTTCAATTGCCTCTGAGCTCAATGCTTCAAGTGTCACTTAAGATACTTACAAGCCTGTTTATTTTCACCCATGCTCATTCTGTAGAAGGATGAAAGAAGCAAAATAACTGTTCTGAGTGCTCGGTGTTATTGTGGGGGTATACAATCCTTTTCCATGAATCAGTGGGCTGTGTGGAGGGTTTCCAAGTGTGTCTAAATCCTGCTGTGCTGTTGGCCTTTGTCTCAGGTTGGGTCCCAGCCAGCAAGGAATAATTTTCAGGCAATCCAGCCAGGATTTTCCATGTGATAAAGGGAATGATGAAGAACTCTAAGCTCTGAACAGATGACTCAGTGCCTCTGGTGCTGAGTTAGACCTATCACTGTTCCTATTGCAGAGGCACGCAGTCCACACCCAATTTCATCCTCTGCCCACACACAGATGTGTCATCTATCTGTGCATGATTGAAGTGCTCATATCAGACATGTTTACCTGGAAAAATTGTGGGAATTGTCCTAAAAGGTTATCATGTTTCCAGTTCCTTTCCCCTCTTGTCATTCTGTCCTCTCTTTGGATCTGTTCCACCTTTGGGGGGGTCCACTTGTGCAAGTAGGTCTGTATAGGAGAAATGATCCTGTATTTGCAGGGCCATTTTTGAGTCATGTCAGTCTAAGAAAATGTAATGGGAAGGACCCAGTGAAATAAAACAATGTATGGAATAGAAACATATCACTTTCCTTATTTTGAGTATAAATGTCTCTTAATGCTAAGTATTCAATGAAAAGATTAGTTGGATTAATGGAATTGATAAGACATATGCTCTTTGTTTTCGTGAATAGCAGAAGTTTAAAATGTGGCTGTCTCTGGCTTCCATATTCAAGTCATGTGAAGTTCTATGAAATTTAGAGCAATGAAATTCATTCACCTTCACCACACTGTGTAAGAGAGGCTGTGATATCATTCAGCTGTTAGGAAAAAGTGACTTTCTAGGCTAAAGGAATGTGAATAGGTGTATCTTATGGTTTTATATTAAAATTACAAATGTATAAGACACGCAGCCTTCCACAGCCTTGATCAGAATTTCAGTGTATGCTTGCGTGTATCTCTGAGATCAGGAATGCTAAGGTTCTCTGGGTTTTGTGAAAGATGGCATCAAGCCATCCTTCAGAGCACAGGACATCCTTAGGCAAAATACAACGAGGATTTGTCTCAAAGCAAAGGTGGAAGCTGAGGCCTGGTTCATGAGAAGGTGGTTTCCAAGCCACCCTCACTAGAAGGAAAAGAGAAGATAGGATCTTCCATTTGGGAAGAGTTTTTCCAGGTACTGCTGACAGAACAATTGCTTTCTAATATTAAACAACCTAGAACTGGAGGAAAGGAAGATTTCTTCTGTGGAGCTGGGAAAAAAATAGAATAGAAAGAGAGAGAGAATAAGTTTCCCTAATCTCCTTTACCTCTCAGAGACTACAGAATCAATGTCTTCTGAGGAAGGGATACATGAAGGCTTTGAAGAAGACCAAGGTTTAGAGCATTTATCATTCATTTTTTCTTGGTTCACTTTCCTTTTTCTGCCAGTCCCAAGGATTCCCAAGGTAAATTGAAACCAGAAGATTTCAGAGTCCTACTTCTGAACCCAGTCATGGCTGAGTCACATCCTGCCTTACCTGACATTGCACAAATGACCCAGAGAAAACGGCATGATGTGACTCCTCTGTGGTAACTTAAATGAGAAGGATGGTTGTTGGCATGCATTTCTCAACCTGTGGTACAGCAAAATACTTTTTTTGAGAACTGTCAGCAAAGGCCATTGCAGAACAAAGGAGGTACAGGCATTAATCTGAGATAATGATGGACAAGAGGTAGCAGGAGGATCTGAGAAGATGTGAGTCTCTTAACATGTGACAATTTTTACTGGAAAGCAAGGAGCACAGGTTTGACTAGTTCCCAAACAAGTATAAAATTTTTGGCTAGTATTTAAGAAACAACTTACAGTATTAATGGCAGCAAT